TGGGTGGGGTGTGGGCAAGATGGCAGTTGGGACAAAGGCTGACTACAGGATCTCCTGTCTGAGGGCTTCTCCTATTAAAAAACACCTGTGTCTTAACACAGGCTGGGTGGCATAAAGAGCTTGGGGTATGGACGGAGGAGAATTGTAAAGTGTGTTGTAGTCACATTATAGGTATTTATTATACATATTTAACTTAAATAATATACCAATCCCTGTTTTTAATCCCATAAAAACTGAAAACAAGAGCCCCAACCAGGTATGGTGGTGAACTCCTGTAATCCCAGCACTCAGGAGGCTAGGCAGGAGGATAGCCCTGAGTTCAAGGCCAGCGTGGGCTACACAGTGAGTTCAAGGCCAGCCTGAACTAAATAGTGAGACCCTGTTCCAAAAAATAAAACAAACATACAAATAAAGAGCTCTACGAGGTTGACATGGTGGTACATGCCTATAATCCTAGTACTTGAAGAGGCTGAGGCAGGACAATCACAAATTTGAACTCAGCCTGGAAAACTTGGTGAGATTTTTGTCTCAAAATGAAAAAACAGCTGAGGGTATAGTTCAATGAAAAGGTTCTGGATTTGATTCCCAGAACTGGGGAGGGGTGGTTCTTGGACAAGAAGACTTGTCTTAGTCAAGTCTCTTCTAGAAAGGTCAAGAGGTACAAAGCTGGGGGTGGTAGCACACACCTATAATCCCAACACTTGGGAAGCTGAGGCAGGAAGATTGCTGCAAGTTCCAGGCCACCCTGGGCTACATAGTGAGTTCAAGACCAGCCTGAACTACATAGTGACACTGTCTCAAAAAAAAAAAAAAAAAAAAAAAAAAAAATAATCCCAACACTTGGGAAGCTGAGGCAGGAAGATTGCTGCAAGTTCCAGGCCACCCTGGGCTACATAGTGAGTTCAAGACCAGCCTGAACTACATAGTGACACTGTCTCAAAAAAAAAAAAAAAAAAAGTACATAGCTCCTTTCTTATTCCTAAGAGCACACACTACTCAGAGGAATCGTGCTTACCTTCAGGAGAGGGATGTGAAGTGTGTGTACATGCATATGTCCAGCAGCCCCAAAACTCACCCACTGACATTGTTAGGAGGGTGACTGTTCACAATGCAGCTGATGGGAAACCTAGAAGTCAGCTCAGCTTAGAGAGACCATGCCAGCATATCCACCCCTTTACCTGGGGCCCAGACTGAGGCACAGGGGATGGGTCACTTGCCACGGAAGCAGGAAGACAGTCGTGCAAAACACAACTGGCTCCAACCTGGAGCTTAGAGCCAGAGCCCAGGACCAGCCTAGCTCAGTCCAAGTTGCTACCAAACTAGAGACTCACAAGCATGAAAAATAAAAGATGAGGGTTTTAAATACTGAGTTTTGCGGCCAGGGATTTAGCTCAGTGATTCTGCCTGCCTGACTCACAAGCACAAGGACCTGAGTTGGATCCCCAGTACAGAAAGAAAGAAAGAGTTTTGGGATAATCTGTTAGACCGCATAACCGTGGTGGTAACTGACAGATACATTACTCCATGTCAGAGGAGGCAAGCTCTAGAAAAGAGGGTGAAGGATAGAGGTTCCTATTTTTACTTATGGAGCAATAGTTTTCATTATTTTATCTGGTAAGCTCTGCATAGTCACCCATTTGTTGATTGATTGATTCCAAAGGGATGTGATAGCCTATGCTTCAGATTCTGGGACAAAACAGTTGGAAGTTGTTGTTCTGTATGGTTCGTACTCCAGTATGTGAAAAGCATTGATGACAGTCTTCTGTGAGCAGGAAATGCTTCCAATGTGTCTTGACTGCTGTAGCGGCCTCACTCGACTTGGTTCAGCTCTTACAACACAGGCCGTCAGCTACCCATGCAGTGAACTTAACTTGGCCCCATCCCTGCTTCCCTTTGGAAAGGGCTGACTTGCCTTAAGTGCCTACTTGACAAACACTAAAACCACACTGTTCTTAATCCTTGAAAAACTCCGAGAGTGGTAACAGCATTCCTATTATAAACACGCAGAACCAGGGTGAGAGGGTGAAGCAATTTGTCCATGGTCTTGTAGCTGGGAAAGATGTGGGGTTTGTGCATAGAGACAAACCCTCTTCTGTGGGCCACAGGACCTCTCGCCAACTTGATGATGCCCCTGAAGGTTCTAGGTTAAAAGGATATGTTATCTGATGTCAGCTAACTTCATGTTGCAACCAAAGCATCAGTTTCTAGGACTTCATCTTTTCCTACTAAATGAATCAGTCCCACCCCCCAGAAAAATAACATTCCATGAACATTATGGCTTAAACCAAACAGAAATTTCCAGATGGCTACACATTTTAGAACAGACAATCCTGGTTCAGATTCTGTATCCAATATCTACTCCCAAACCCAACTTCCCCGCCATTGAAAAGTTGCCTTGCAGCACAAAATAACTGACTACTTCAAGATAATAATCCTAGAAGTCAATATAAATACTCAAAAGTTAAAGATCTTGGCTCTACTGGCAAATCTGGAACAAAATGAGCATCGATAATAACAATGATGACAGGGCCAGGGATTTAGCTCAGTGGTGCCACTGCCTGACTCACAAGTGCAAGATACTGGATTTGATCCCCAGCAATAATAATAATAACAATAATAATAATAATAATAATAATAGTGATGATGGTAAAGGATTATACCACTGAACAAAACAACAAAAAATCTACAATTAGGAGTTAAACTCTTCCCCCCGCCCCGAAACAGTGTCTCACTATGTAGCCCTGGCTGGCTTTGAACTCACAGCAATCCTTCTGCCTCAACCTCCAGAGTGCTGGAATTATGGGTATGCACCACTGAACCCAGAGGAGTTGAACTTTTTTTAAAAGGTAAGAAGATAATTGTTTTTAACAAATAAATTCCTGCTAATAAATGCAGAATGAGAGATATGATCAGAAAAATAAGAGCTAAGCATAGTGCTACATACCTGTAATCCTAGCACTGGGGAAGCTGAGGCAGTAAGATCGCTGCAAGTTCAAAGCCAGCCTGGTCCACACAGTGAGTTCAAGCTTAAACTACATAGCAAAACCTTGTCTCAAAAAAAAAAAAAAATCATCATTTTGAAGCCACTGATACAATAAATGCTTTGGGCAAGGATCATTAATAGCTGCTAAACCATTGAGTACAGCAGTATTAAAGAATGGGATATTTCCCAGAGTTTAAAATATTACCCCCTTTATCCCATAATAATTACAAAGGGTAAAAAAAATCACTTCACAAGAGAAAATTTTTTTTTTAACAAGAGAAAAATCTTATGTGCCCCACATGAACAAAGCAGTCAAATACAGCATCACTAAATCATAGAACAACTTGAGGCGGGCGTGGTGGCGCATGCCTTTAATCCCAGCACTCAGGAGGCTGAGGCAGGAGGATCGCTGTGAGTTGGAGACCAGCCTGGACTACATAGTGAGTTCCAGGTCAGTCTCAACTACATAGTGAGACCCTGTCTCAAAAAACGAAAACCAAACAAACAAACAAATCATAGGATAACTTGACATTATAGATTTCCAATATTTTGTAATGAGAAATACACAAAATCTTCCTGTGTGATACTCTTGCCAAAGAAATGTTTAGGTAGGGCTAGGGGATGCAGCTCAGTGTAGGTAGGCCTAGCATTTATGAGGTCCTGGATTTGATTCTCAGCACCAGAAAACAAATGAACAAATGTCAGTTTAACCAGAATCTGATCACAAGACAAAAACCTGACTAGTCTGGATCAGGGCCATTCTACAAGACAACTGGCCTGGACTCTTCAAAATGCTAAAGTTATGGAAGATGAAAAGGTGACAGAAAGAAAACCAAAGAGACATGACAATCAAGTACAATAAGGCAAAAAAACTCCATCCCTGATTGGATTTGAGAGTGGCAGAGGGAGTTTTGTTTTGTTTTTTCAGAGGGAGTATTAAAAGACATTCTGGGATGGGACATGGTGGCACATGCCATGATTCTAGCACTTGGGAGGCTGAGGCAGAACGATAGCTGTGAGTTCAAGGTCAGCCTGAAATACACAGCGAGATCCTGTCTCAAAAAAAGACATTTTGGGGGCAGTGTTTAATTAAAAATGAATGAATGATGGCCCAAGATTTAGCTCAGTGGTTCTGCCACCTGCCTCACAAGTACAAGGTCCTGAGTTCGATCCCTGGTACCAAAAAATTTAAATAAATAATTAATTTAAAAATTAATGAATATTAAACTAATACTAAGTTTATATTTAGCATTAGTGCATTACTGTTGCACTGATGTTAGACTTTATGGATGTGATAATGACATTTTGTTTTTCTTTCTCTTTTTTTTTTCAGTACTGAGGATCAAACTCAGGACCTTGTACTTGCAAGGCAGGCAGGGGTACCACTGAGCTAAATGCCTGGCCCTTTTTTGTGGTGCTTTGAGACAAGATTTTACTATGTGGTTTAGGCTGGCTTTGAACTCACTATGTATTACAGGCTGGCCTCAAACTCACAGTGATCCTCCTGCCTCAGCCTCCCTCCCAAGTGCTAGAATTATAGACATGTGCCACCATGCCTGGAGCTGGCATTTTGTTAGATAGGAAAATGTACTAATTATTTAAAAAATGGACAATGAAGTATTTAGGGTAAGGTGTCAAGCTGTCTGTAGTTTCAAAAGTTTTGAGTGCATGCGTGTGTGTAGGTACAGATGGATAGATACATATATGTGTACAAAGATAGATGATAGATAGATAGACAGATATCTTAAAAGAATAAGGGAGACAGCCGGGCATGGTGGTGCACGCCTTTAATCCCAGCACTCGGGAGGCTGAGGCAGGAGGATCGCTGTGAGTTGGAGACCAGCCTGGGCTACATAGTGAGTTCCAGGTCAGTCTCACTACATAGTGAGACCCTGTCTCAAAAAAA